CATGTGGCCGTCTGCCGGGGAGCCTGGTGACGCCTACCAACCATTTGGTACAGCATTGAGTGTCATTTTCGCCAGGCTCTCCAGCTTCTCCCTTCGAGTTGGCCGGGCAGACACGACGAGTGCATAAGCTGCCCAAGTGTTACCGGACTGCATGTTTTCTGTCCAACTGCTCTGTCAGGGCCCACATTCACAACAATGGCGTGGATTTTTTACTATTTTCCCCGGTCGAACTGTAGCAAAAAGCCTATGAGTTGGTCCACGAAGCCCCACTTCCAACCCCACTCCACCCCACCCTACTCCCCTCCAGGCATGTGTGTATGAATACATTTACTCAGACATGTCTAAACAGAGATAGATGCAGGTGAACAAACCGATGTGCCTGCATGTGACGCCCAACGGCGTCTGCCCCGCTCATTTTTTTCGACATGCTGCCTTCGCCTTGAGCACATACACATGCTTGGATGCGGATGAGCCGGACTGGCGCACTACCTGTCCGGGTTCACGAGACTGAGACTGAGACTGAGACTGAGACTGAGAGTGAAAGTGAGAGTGAGAGTGAGAGTGAAACAGCTTTTAATTGCTCTTTTGTATATTAATTTATCACGACTGGCACGAGCCGAGTGTATCCGAGTGGGATACACATCGGCCCTATCTCGGACGTGCATCTCGTTAACAGTCGCGCTGGAGAGCTCATTCAGCATGAAGGTGTGCTCTCCCACGACTTGACAGGCAGGTCGGGACTGGCCGTCAGACAACGCCTTCGAGTCGACCACTGTCCGATCGAGAGCTGGCCCTCCAGTCTTCACACGATTGTATGCGCGTCTGTATGTGTTTGTGTATGTATGTGTGTGTGTGTGTGTGTGTGTGTTCTGGTGTTCTGATGTGCGGGTTTGCTGGTTTGCTGGTTGCCGACGGCGACGGTCCGTTTCATAGCGGTCGAGAGGCCTGAGACAAAAGCAGATGCCGCTTTGTGCACAACACGGAGGTGTCTGTCGGTCGCCGGGTACGCTTGCTCTTTCCTCGTCCGCCCACAAGATGCTGACAACTTAATTTCCAGGCCGGACTCTATAATTTAGGTTGCACCTCTCCACGGTAGACATATCGTGCCATTTGAGGTCTGCTTTCAAAGACCTAGTCAGAACAGGTGCCAGTCGGCTCAAGCTCATGACTGCAGGCAAAAGTGAAAACGCCAATGTAAACAGGCCTGCACCATAGAAGTAACACGACGCCAACCTGTATGAATGTGGGCAATTCACCAATGCTTGCATATATATTGCACACAAACAAACAAACACACACACACACACACACGAAAATGTGAACGTTCAGGCACCCGAAGTCGCAACGAGTGGGTTATCGTTCACCAGCAGATGTACAGCATTGGCTTGTCTGCTCAAGAGACGCAGGTGAAATCGGCAGCCCGGCCGACGAGTACGAATGGCGAGTGCATGGTCGGCCACCGAGGCATATAATTAAAGAGTCTGAATGAGTAGGTGAGAGAAAGGCAATGTGATGGCATGCCAAAGGGTGTTTGCATGTAGGCACTTGTGTGCATGTGTCTGTGTGTGAGTGGATGCAAGTGTCGGCGTCCGTATGTTGGCCTGGCGTGCCAATTAAGGGGTACACCATCCAGGCGGTTGTCAAGAGGGTCTGTACAACATTCGTGGGCCTGCCAGACCGGCTAGTTGGGATGGTTGAGACGCGAGGCTGTTGGTCGAGGAGAG